TTACCTTCCCACTGAAGTGGTACCTATTTATCTACTTGCAATGTCTTGCTTTTGAACTGCTAGGTTGGCAGGAGCTGGAACTAGAGACGGGAGCTCACTCCGTCTTGCGGCACACGGGTCTCGAACTGCTGAACTACTGACCTTCCACAGCCTGCAGTTCAGCGTTTTAACGACTTGAGCCACCGCAGCTCAATAACAGATTGTTATTTAGATGTAAATAGGGTACCATCCCACCATTTCACAGATGAAAATAGAAATACAGAAGAGAGATTCCACCATCCCTATTCTTGTCTCAAAGATCACTGCCAGGAACTTCCCAGTTACAGATCTGCCTGGTGTATAATGCACTTATGCAACAGTTGCCCTTTAGTGATTTAAGAGCCAAGAGGTGTGCTGGATTAATGATCTCCCAGAAAACATAACTGTTCTGCTGCATATCAACAATGCAAAATACTGTATACCTATGCATTTGGAGTGTCTGAAATGGCATGCTTATTTGCTTTTGTGTTTACGCTCATGCATTTTCATATATGAGGACAGGAGACCAGATGCAATCCCCTGCATACACACATACTCACTTGGAAATGTATCTGCTGAAGATGAGGGGCACAGGGTGAACGCTGAAGAATGACAACTCTAGCATTCACACTAACAGAACTTTAATGAAGTGTCCCCCAAAAGTGTGATTTACCATAGAGAGAGATTAGAAAATAGGGGCTATCCCAGCTAAACACGTACTGAGCCTGCTGCTTTATACATGCAAATCATGCAGTCTACTGAACAACTCTAGTAAGAGTCAGAAAATATATCTACTTTGTAAGAGAACGTCCATTCTATGAAGGTAATACTGATATGGTCAATTTCAAGTTTAGTTAGTCAAAAAGGCAGTTTGCCTTTTGTGTGATTTTTCATGTAAAAACATATCTTCATAGGTGAACGGAACTAAATTATCAATGAATTAGATCCAGAGATACCTATGTATCAAAAGACACTAAACATACCTTAAAATGTGAATATACATCCTTGTAAGTACTGCTTCATTGTTGTTCCCATTTCTTCATGCACAATATTGTGTCCTTTTCTGGAAATAGAGCTGCTGTACCGCAGTGTTCCCTCTAAGCTGAGTTAGTGTGAGCTAGTTCACAGTTTTTAGCCTCCGGCTCACACATTTTTGTCTTAGCTCAGGAAGGAGGCTCCAGAGCAAGCTAATTTATGCAGTAGCCAGATTGCTCGCTCACAACGCTAATGCCAGTAGCTCACAGAGTAGAATTTTTGCTCACAAAACTCCACAGCTTAGAGGGAACATTACCAGCAGGGGTTTTTTTCTGGGAAAAACATGCAGGTATGGAGTTCTGGAACCTCTTCGGCAAAATTCTTTTTTAAATGTTTAAAATTTCATGAGTTTTTAGTATACAGATTGAAAACTTAATTTCCCTCTTGAGAGTTCCGGCATGTCTTTAAAACACAAACAAAAAACCCCCATGGTTACCAGTATACATTGAGATCATATGCAGTTTTCCGTACTTAGAGGGTAGAACAGTGGATGTGCTATTGTTTCTTGTGCAGAAAGAGGATCCCATTGGAGACTGTACATTTTGAACATGAGCAGTTGTTCGTAGGACAGAATATCTGTAGCGCAATTGAAAAGTGTTGGGTTGGGAAAACTGCATAAATATCAGTTTTGTACTTTCAGACTCCCTACTTCCTAAACAAGGGCAAGGAATAATACCTAATTTTAGTTCTGTAATGTTATGAAATGGCTTTACATCCATTTACATTTTTGGTTGGAACACAGAATTTCCTATAGGTCTTTGAAATATAGTAGTTAACAAGCAGGGACCCGCAAGAAAGTTGTGAGGAGGGAACATCCCATTCTCCCGCCTTTCCTTCCTCCCCTCTCCCCCACCCCTTTTCTGTCACTCATGTCCCATTGCTTTCTGCCTCCCCTCAACCCTTTCTTCCCTATTGTTCATGCCCCTTTACTTTCTGTCTCCCCCTTCTGCTTCTTGCAATCCCCTCATTCTTCCCCCTTCCAACCAAGTGCTCAGTGTCCCACCACTTAGACCAACTGTTTGTCTCTGACGGGAACAGTGACAGTGGTAGTTGGCTCTTGCCCTTCTCCTCCCCTGCTTGCCTGAAGTCAGTGAAGGAGCATTATTTGCTGGAAACTAATAGGGGGATTCTTTGTTGCATTGGTGGAAGGGGGGCAGTAGCAACTTCCCCTCCTCTTTTTCTCCACTTGCCTGAGCTTCGCAGTGAGAAGGTGGCAGCCGCAGTGGGCTCCACCATGACTGCCTTCTTGTCATTGCTTGAGGGGTTGGGAGCCACAACTGCCCTTCCCCCAATGGTGGAGCCAAGCCGAGACTCCTCTTCCTTGCCTGCCTGAAACTTGGCTGTGGGAAGGTAGCAATAACTTCTGCCAGCCTCTTCGTGGTCTTCTCTTCCTTGTCACCATTTGCAGCCTGGCAGCATGTGATTATTTCTCTTCCCCTTCTGCCCTCCTCTTCCTCGCATGCCAGCCTGCATTCAGAGAACAGTTCTCTGTACTTATGTAGTCAACTGTTCTTAGTTTTGGGGGTTTTATTAAAAACAACCCCACTTTAGTTTTTGCATTTTTTTGCAAGGTTGGCATTCTGTCAATATCTCCAGATTGGACACTTGACTGTTAGATATAAGGTGCCGTATAATATGAATGTGTCTGACTTCAAACACAAAATTACACATAATAATGATTAAAACATTGCACAATACAACAGATAATAGTTTCTTAAAATGTAAATTATCTCTTTTGGTTTCTTTTTCTCAAAGCTAGGACTTTATTGCTCAAATTATTTTTCAGTACAGCAAAATTAAAAGGGAAAATATAAATTAGTTTTAACATTTTTCATATTTGTCACAGTTTGTGTATATGTTGTATTTTCTAGAGCATATGAAACATCAAAAATGTACCGTGATCTTAAACTGAGATGTGCATTAATTCAAAACAAGCAGTTAAGATTGTTACCAAAGGAACAAGTATACGACAAAATAAATGGAGTCTGGAATTTATCTAGTGATCAGGTATTGTGTAATATAAGAAAAACATACTTAAAATGGTGTTAAGAATGTACTTTATATTGTCCCCCATCAAATGTGAGCAGAGAATTCTAGAATCACTGCACTAAGGTATTTCAAAACACACATAGTATTGTAAAGTTCAACTGAATGTTCTGAAGACCTTGTTTACTTTTAATAATATGTTCAAAGTTACATTCTAATGCAGAGGAGTGTTTCTGTGTTAGATTGTGACTGGTGCAGGGTTCTTTTCCCCTTTCCCTGTTCTTCGGTCATATTTTGAACCCCCAAAATACTGGCAGGCGATCTGAACAAAGGGTAAGGGAGGCTGTGTCTCTGGAGTTGGGCCTTTTGAAAGGATTAAGACAGCACATGAAAGGATTGTGACAGCAGGCATGACTTGCAGTGTCAGGTGCAAGTTTTACTGTTCTATTGTTTGTTCCATGAAGCCTGTGACCTTAGACTTCTGTAGATTCTGCTCAGGGGCATCAAGGCATTGGCAGCATTTTGTACTGGACAGTTGCAGTGACTGTGGTATAGTATCAATATATCATGTAAATGCACTCTTCTGTGTACAGCAAAATATAATTTTACTCTTCTTACAAAGCATTGGATTCTATCTTATGCATGAGAAATTGTTTGAATTCTTCTGTTTTATTTTTTTCAGCCCCAAATAATGTCAATATTTTACAATTACCAAGTAGGCAAGAAGGAGCCAAATCTACCATTTTTTGTGTCCTCTTGCAGGACAAAGTCACTAGAACCAGTCACAGTCATGCCTGTTCTGGTATGACTCAGATCAATACAACTGCTAGAACAATAGTCTCTCATGCTGCCTCCTGCTGGTGCAGAAGCTTTAATAGTCCCTGTGACTCAGGGAGCTGATATCAATGCACTGGTATCTTTTCCTGTGCTACATTGGTCCGCAAAAGGTTTCCCTTCAAAGACTATTAAAGAGGATAGCTTTGACATGGCAGATAGCATGAAGAAGAAAAACAGGTTATTTACCTATAAGGATACTGTTCAAGTGGTCCTACAACCCTCTCTGCATCCTTGCTGCTGGCCTCTCTGTTCTTTACCTTTAGAAATGCTAATTGTTTTTATCCTGTTTTTATGTACCGGCATACGTGCCCTGATGTTAGCCACCCTGAGCCCGTTCATGGGGAGGGTGGCCTAGAAATCGAAAAAATAAATAATTGTACTAGTGTGAAGGAACTCTGTGGGAAGGCACTTGCCCCTCCCTTGGAGCAGGTATAGAAGAGTGATATCCTCCCTTGAGAAGGGTATTTGAGCACCAATGTTTGGCCTAGAGTGCTAGAATTTTCTTGATGTGTTCCTGCCACATCACAGAACCTGTGAGTGACTGTAGAGCTGGCCACTCAAACATCATTTACAGGTAAGCCTCCATTTACTGTCCCTTGTGTTGAAATATGAGCTATCACTTTCCATCAGTAGAAGGAGGAGTCAGTTTTCTGGTGGCTAGAATTTTCTTGATGTGTTCCTGCCACATCACAGAACCTGTGAGTGACTGTAGAGCTGGCCACTCAAACATCATTTACAGGTAAGCCTCCATTTACTGTCCCTTGTGTTGAAATATGAGCTATCACTTTCCATCAGTAGAAGGAGGAGTCAGTTTTCTGGTGTTTTCATCGTTTGTTTGTAAAATTTTGATTTGTTAGCTACCTTGAGCATATTTATGAAGAGGTGGGGTATAAATAAATAATGTTTAAAGAACTATATAGGAATACTAGAATTTTCAAAACAGTGGTTTTAGATTTAAATGTATTTATATTGAAATGGTTACTTTAATATTTTCTAAATAAAGTTTGTTATTTTATTTAAATATAAATGGATAAGGCCTATGTAATGACCAGTCCAAATAAGTTTTTACTTCTCTTGCTTCTAGGGAAATCTGGGTACCTTTTTCATTACAAATGTGAGAATAGTTTGGCATGCTAATATGAATGATAGCTTTAATGTCAGCATACCATATCTACAAATTGTAAGTACCATACCATAACATTACAGTAAACATTTAACTGTAAATATTAATGTAATATGAGTTACTTCTAAAATTATGTATTATTTCTATGAAAAAACCTATGGTTTATCTGGCAGAGATCTATAAATGCTAATCTAAATTTGACAGTATTAACATGAGCAAGGAGTGGTACCTCCTCTGGTGGTTGAAATGTGGGGTCTTTCAGCTGGGTTGTGGTGGGGAAAGGCAGAACATTTATCTTCACCTTGGCCATAGTTACGGTAACGGCCTTGGGTCCGTCATAAGGATAAAAGGCTTTTGGTTAGTGCAGTGCTAAGAATACTTCTTGGGAATAAGCCACACTGAGTGACCTGGGTAGGATTCTGAGTAGATCTGACTCAGATGACTCACTGAATGTTACCTTACTAGATCGTTCATAATGCATTACAGTGAAGCTGGTGGATTAGTGATTTTCTGTCAGGTTGGGTTGTAGGGCTGTGAAGAGTTTCAAGAATATTCCTTCCCCCAGATCAGCAATCAGGCTGTTCTGAATAAAAATATATTTGCGGCACCATTCTAAAAATATTTTGGCTTCACATTCATCTTTGCATGAGGCAGTAGTATTATTCCACCAAGCTCATACTTGAACCTGAGACTTTGACTCATAGCTCATACTTTTAACCACTGCAATACAATAACTTTTTTAAAAAGCTGAGTGATTTTATTTGATGTCCACAGAACTTAAAATGCCACCCTATAGTAGTTTCAGATCATATCCATATCACTTTTCATTATAGTTCACAAATTATACTCTTTATTTGCTTTTTTCTGCTTTGTTCATTGTACTTCTCTGCTAAAAAATTATACTTTTATATGATAATTATAACTTCCAAAGATAATTATAATTCAGAAATTCACATTGTAGTTAGTTCTGTTAAGAATCATATTTGAATGACACTTCTTAACCAAAGAAATGTTCCCTCTTGTTTTCACTTTGGCACCAGCGCTCAGTAAAGATCAGAGATTCAAGATTTGGCTTGGCACTTGTCATTGAAAGCTCTCAGACGGTAAGAAACCCTAGTAATGTATTTCATTTCCTTCAGCATTTTAACTCCATTTGAAACTCCAATAAGCTGTTCATTGAATGAAGCACCTGTACTTCGTGACATTTAGCCTCAAGGATTTCTTGATTAGGATGTCATCATAGTATAACAGACAGCTGAGCTAAGATTGTCCTGAATAATGGCCATGATAAATGAACACCAGGTGACTCAGGACTCTGAATGAAACACCAGCAGGTCAGCTTGGTCACATACTATTTTTGAGTGTCTTTGCCAGTGAAAGTTTAGACTTGATATTGTTAGCTCCTGAGTAGTTCTCTTGCGTATGGCTATTTCAGAATAAATTTCTTCGGAAATACAGTTTCAAGTATTGCTCAATACTTTTTCTAAGACAAGAGGAGTATGTAGAAATAGCTTTAAACTGGGATTTTTGGGTCATTTTTATTATAGTGTCATTAAAATACTAACCATTTAACAAACATATTATGAAAGATCATAAAATACCTCCCTGCTGCAAAACCCACTGCATTTACTGTATTTGGATAATTCTACTGTCAGATATGTTTTATTGTAATATATGACTGTTTTGCAGACTGGAGGGTATGTCCTTGGATTTAAGATCGACCCACCTGAAAAACTGCAGGATGCAGCAAAGGAAATAAATTCACTGCATAAAGTCTATTCTGTTAATCCTATATTTGGAGTGGATTATGAAATGGAAGAAAAGGTATTTCAGTTTAGTATTTATTTTGAGAATTAAACTGGCTGCTAAGGAATAAAGTTCCTTTCATTTGTTTACAAACAGATAACTTCTGTGAAAAATCCAAAAAGAAAATATTAACAGTGAAGCAGTCCAAATACGTCAATGTATAAACCATATAAGTGGCCAGACAATGTAAACAATAAAACAGTCCAAAACAGTCAATGTATGAGCAATATAAGCAGTAATGGTACACTGACTGATTGTCCCATTTCAATATCTTCTGCTTCAGAACTACTTTGCTATATCTAGTATGTGTTTATTAATCTGTAAGAAACAGAATATCAACAACTACAACCAAAATGCTATTTACATGTTTGCACATTTTACCAAAAGAATTATGAACTGCTTTCATTTGTTAATTTTCAGCCTCAGCGCCTAGAAGACCTGACGGTGGAACAGGTACAAGATGATGTAGAGATAGAGTCAGATGAGCACACAGATGCCTTTGTGGTAAGGATCTATAGAAAAATGGGAATATCTTGTGGAGAAATGCCACCCACCATAAAATTTACCCCAACATTTCAGCCATTGTGACTGTACCTTGTGAGTCAGAACAGAGCTGCAACCTTGTGGCTGGCAGGAAGGGAGAGCGCTGGAGGGTTGAACCATCAAACTCCAAGCACTGACTACTTTAGTGCTTATATATGCTAGTGGCTATGGCCAAAGCAGCAGCCAGGAATGGAAGGCTACTTAGAAGCAGTAGTTCTTAAAATTTATATTTAAGGCATAAGCTTTTGTGTGCACATGAAAGCTCATACCTTGAATAAAACTTTGTTGGTCTTAAAGGTGCCACTGGACTCTAAATGTGTTCTACTGCTTCAGACCAATATGGCTGACCACCAAATTTATATAACACTCAGTTTTGAAGATTTTTAAAAATAGTTTATTTTTTGTGGATTTATTTCGATTTATATCCCACCCTCCCCACAAGCAGGCTCAGAAAGGCTTTCATTTGAGCTAGCAGTAATCTTGTTGGTGGTATTGTTCTGGAGTTGGATCCAAAAGCCATCTTCCACTGCAGAAAAGTGGCAATTTTTTATTTCCTCCCACTAGAGAGTTCCTCCAGCACCCACACGCACAGAAGGTCCCATATTGCCTTGGAGCAGCATTTTGGAGAGATCATTGTGAGGGAGAAAAGGGGAAATTCCATTCTGTCAGCAAAGGTCTTCTGATGGTATTTTAGCTCCAACAGCTGAGAAGTGTGAAACTACAAAAGTGAAAAGCATTCACAAAATTGTATTTGTCAGAAACAAGTTAAATGCTTTTCATTTTTAAAGTATAAGTAATATGTCCCCAAAAAAGGTTTGTTATGCTAAACATCAATTCTGCTAACGACAACAGTCACAATTAATTTTTAGGTGACAAACTATAATTACCTCTCTTTTAAGCTTCCTTTGGTGCAATTTGAAAATACCTCATGAGTCAGCACTCATGACCTTTAGGACCTTTAGATTCCCTACTTTTTATTAAGGATCCCCCCCCCAGTAGATATTCCCCTCTGAGAACTGGAAAAGAAGATTACATAGTACCAGAGGTTGCAGAAAGGCACAAAGCTGTTTGTGTTACTAACAATTGCTATAAAAAATCCAAAGGCAGTCAGTTCAGTTTGTAAACAAAAGATAACTTCTGTGAAAAATCCAAAAAGAATTAGTATGTGTAAACATGTATATAACATTTGGTTGCAGTTGTTGGCTTTCTGTTTCTTACAGATTAACAAGGCCACATACTAGATATAGCAAAGTAGTTCTGAAGAATATAATCGAAATGGGACAATCAGATGGCGAACCATTACTGATTTTTCCAATTCACCTGAGACATCAACCTAATATAATTTTCAGTCCTAAACTTTGTTAACAATCCTTATGTTTTAAATAATCTTGCCATCTCTATTATTGTTGTGTACCAGACTGAAATCAACACTCCTCAGAATTGCTGTAGGTTATGCGCGTATTCTAAGTAAAACCTCTTATTTACACTTAAAGTTAGCTTTCTTACTGAAAATCGATAGAAAACTTCATATTTACCTTGTTAATACTGCATCAAAAAGAAAGATGGTTGGATAAATTACAAAACTGAGGTATTCATAGGATACTTATTAAATTAAAAGTAGAAATAAAGAGATAGGATCTGGTTTACAAACCAATTTTAGATATGAAAGATAATGGCAGGCTTTTCGGTGAACTGTGATATCTGGTGTCTGTGGTTGAATGTAGCAGACTTTTAATGATGAACTGTGAAAATACTCAGTTTCTTTTTAAGATTTGTAATACTTTGTTATTTTTGTATTGTAGGCTTATTTTGCTGATGGCAATAAGGTAAGATTTTTAAAAAAATTAAGTTAAATTGAATGCTATATTAGTCTATAACCCACAATTTTAACTTTGTTTCCTTGCATTTTCTCTCTGCCTTCCTCATTTCTTGAAAAAAGCAACAGGATCGTGCACCAGTTTTTTCTGAAGAGCTAGGACTGGCAATAGAGAAACTGAAGGAAGGATTCACCCTGCAAGGACTCTGGGAAGTAATGGGTTGACAGTAATTTTAACAATAGGAATAGTCTGTAACAATATGTATAGTCTACTACCTGTTTTACAGAGATTAATATATTTTAAGATATTAAAAGAAATTATGTACAATGTATAGTTAGAAGATATATTTATAACATATATATTTATGCCGTGTGTTGTTTGTGTATTTGCATATAGTGCTTTTAACACTGACATTTCAAATTATTTGCTTAATTAGGACATGTGTTGATCTGCTAAAGACTAACTACAAGTATTTAAGGAAATAAAACATAAGGATTTGTATTTCTGAGTAATCACTGTCACTGCTACATAGAATGTCTTGGCAAGTATTTTACAACTGTGACTTAATCGTTAAATCTTACTCTTAGCTCATTCCACTAAGGTACAAGACATCCTGTTATTTTGGAAGCATGCTGGGAGAGGAGGTTGATGCCCATGCTCTTTTTTGCTTTTGAAATCTATCAGCAGTTTGACAGATTTTGAACTTTGTCATAAACATTATGTGAATTGTATGTAACCATTACCTTTTTATCTGTTCAGGGTATTATTATTTTTTTGCTATTTTTATCAATTAGTTTAAACTTAAAGCTGTTTTGATCATGTTAGCTGATTCTTCTTTGCCATTAACAATGTATCTACCAGTCTGTATTTATCTTATTTTGTTTATTGTATCATCTTTTCCTGTGTCCCACTACAAAACACATTTAACATATCAACTTGGAAATAAACCTAATTGATTTAGAATCATTTCTAAGTGGACATGGTTTACTATCTGATAGTAAAATTATTTAGAAAGTTCCTCTTGAATAATCATTTTTTTCCTGATTTGTAGAAAGATCAATCTTGTCTGTTCACAGCTCTAGTTTCTGGGTTTAAGTATCTTCAGATTTGGTCATGTTGAGTGTTAGATGGAACTGGGAATGGAAAACTGCTACATTCAGAATTTGGTGACTTTAACCTACTGAGTTGCAACTTACCAGCATTTCTACTTGATCTTGCTAAGTTCTTTCCGCCATCTTATGTGACTTTTGGCCCTGTGGGTCCCTCAGTCCCTAGCATAGTCTTTTCAGTGATCAAAAGGATCCTCATCCTCTAGCTTATGCCATTAGGATAACTGGTAGCATACAACTCACAGTTGTTGACTTTGACCTTTGGGTAAGCCCCAAGCAAAATCAATACAATATACATCAAACAGTATTCTAAGTACTACAATTCATTTAAAAGTTCCATCACATTTTTGTTTTCTATGAAAAGTGTTTACACTTCTTTAGCAAGTGAGCCCTTTAGAACAGGGTGTGGCATGCAAAATTAAATGTCATTTATTGTTTGAAGGAAGCAGCTGCTGTATTTTCAAGTGAGATAAGACCTTGCACACAATTTCTATAAATGGGAAAATGTCAAATGACCTCTCCATCCAGCTGTTGTTTTAGCAGCTGATCTTTTGAGTGTACCTTGAAAAGATCCTATTTACTTTCCTAAACATAAGCTAAAATTTATTTTTTATACTGAATGTATAAAGGTGAATTTCAATTAACTGTATCAAACCATTAATGTTCAGTTCCTGACAGATTTTTGAAAAAGATAATTAGACCTTTTTATTGATTACAGCTGTAGCAAGCTTGTACCTGTTAGCTGTGATCTGTCAAGACACTAATGTGTTTCATCACTTCTTGGTTTTGCTCTTGAGCCATCCTTCCTGAGCTAAGACAAAAATGTGTGAGCCGGAGGCTACAAAACTGTGAGCTAGCTCACACTAACTCAGCTTAGAGGGAACACTGCTTGGGGGTCTTAAATGATGAGAAATAATACGCCCAGCCTGCCTGTGCATGCAGATTTAACCAACATACTAGGAACACACTGGATCACTGACATGGTAATAAAAACCAACCCAGAACTTAACCCTTTTTTATTTTAAATAAGTGGAAATTTTATTATTGTCTAATGGGTGAGTATGTAAATAGTCCAAAATAACTTTCATGGGATTTGTTTTCATAGGCATTTACACTGGCCCAATTTCTGTGCAACAATAAATTTTTAAAGGTTTTCAGTGAATGGCCATCATAGTTCTCCCTGCTGACTTCTGTCTTTTGAAACAATGTTTGTGATTAAGTAATGTGACTATATTATAAAGTATTTAATCATAGCAATTACCTTGGGGCCAAATTCTGCCACCCTTGCTCTGGGTGCTATCTATACTTTTCAAGTAATCTCCGTGATTCACTGTGTGTAACCAAGTCAAACTGATTCCCTAGTTACTAAAAGCAACAGTTGCTTCTTTCAACCCATGACAGCTGCGAGCTCCACTCTTCTTTCCACACCATCCATCCTAAATTCCAGCTCGTGAAAGTCTGTACCTATATTTAGCTTGCAGGATTAAATTACAGAGGGCTTCAGGCTGGGCAAAGCACATTGATCTGCCTTTTTCAGGCAGACCTAGGTACTGACAAGAGGGCTTTAACTTCTGCCTCCTTGCCCAGCCATTCAACATAATGGATTCCCAAAGAGAACTTACTGAAGAACTTCGACTTTATCAATCCACTCTGCTTCAGGATGGCCTCAGGGAGCTTTTGGAAGAGAAAAAGTTTGTTGATTGTTCCCTAAAAGCTGGGGATAAAAGTCTTCCTTGTCATAGACTGATTCTATCAGCCTGTAGTCCGTATTTCCGTGAGTACTTCTTATCTGAGCAAAGTGAGGAGAAAAAGAAAGAGGTGGTTCTAGACAACGTTGACCCTGTCATCCTGGACATGATTGTTAAGTACCTGTATTCTGCTAGTATTGACCTCAATGATTCAAATGTCCAAGATATTTTTGCACTGGCGAGCCGCTTTCAGATTCCCTCTGTTTTCACTGTGTGCGTTTCTTACCTTCAGAAGAGACTTGCTGTTGGTAATTGCCTGGCCATCCTTAGATTAGGACTTCTGCTTGATTGCCCAAGACTCGCGCTGACTGCCCGTGATTACGTGTCAGATCATTTTGTGCAGATTTGCAAAGAAGAAGACTTCATGCAACTTGCCCCCCATGAACTCATCTCGATTATTTCTCCAGACAGCTTGAACATTGAAAAGGAAGAAGTGGTTTTTGAAGCTGTAATGAGGTGGGTTCGACTGGATAAAGAGAACCGGGTGAAGAGTCTTGGGGAACTGTTTGACTGTATCCGCTTTCGCCTGATGGAGGAGAAATATTTCAAGGAGCATGTTGAAAAGGATGATATAATCAAAAGCAACCCTGATCTCTCCAAAAAAATCAAGGTTATCAAAGATGCCTTTGCTGGGAAACTGCCTGAGCCTACTAAAAGTGCAGACAAGTCAGCCAAAGGAGAGGTTAATGGTGATATTGGGGATGAAGACTTGCTCCCTGGCTACCTAAATGATATTCCAAGACATGGAATGTTTGTCAAGGACCTCATCCTTCTTATCAACGATACCGCTTCAGTGGCTTATGATCCCACAGAGAATGAGTGTTACCTGGCAGCTCTGTCAGAACAGATTCCCAGAAACCATTCCAGCATAGTCACTAAACAAAAGCATATCTATGTGGTGGGAGGACTCTATGTGGATGAAGAGAACAAGGAACAGCCTTTCCAGTCATACTTTTTCCAGGTACAGATCTCCTTTGGTTATTTCAGTAAGGGTAATCTCAAGTAAGTTCTTAGCCACCGGTAGGAGCAGGGAGGACCATTTCAGCTGATTTTCCTCCTCCCACTGTAACTGCCCACTGTTTTCTGGGACTGTATTTTTTTTGTGGGGAGGGGATGCAGTCGGAAGAGAAATGTGGAAAAGCCCTACTCACAGTTTGTTGGATAGCACCCTGTGGCTTGGATCCACTGGAGCATTTCTGTGGACAGAAAGATTTCCATGTGTAGACCGTGACTTGCTCACCTTCCCCCTTCCACTGCAGCCCCAAATGCACCACCACACCAAAATTCTGTTCAAGTGTAAGCAAGAAAGTCAAGCTCTGTAGGTGGAAATCCATCCACGGAAGTGCTCCAAGTCAATAGCTTTAGTGTTGATCATTGGTATACTGCTGGTGCCTTATTCCTCAGTCTTTAGAAACTGTACATTCTCTAGTATCATTCTTGTTAGTCTTGTTCTTGTTTGTATCTTTGGATTAGTGGCAAAAAGCTAAATATATGTAATCATTTCTGCCATGATTTTATCCCATGGTTTCATTCCCCCTTAAAGCCAACAGCAGCACAAATACCTTTTTATTAGGACCAGCTTCCCAAAACAATGGCACTTCCCTGCAACTCTTAGGCTGGATGTTTAGTATGAAACAGAAGTGCATGGGGGAAGGCCTCAAAAACCTTCTGTCCTATTTTGGTTGGTCCTAATAAAAAGGTATTACATTACTGTTCTTTTGGGATTTTTTTCTGTGAGTCATCACCTACAATCTTTAAACATTCCATTCAAGCTTCTGTCATTGCTATAGTACATTGTGGGCCATCTGATTTCCACCATGACAAACCACACCTATTTATGCTTCACATATAGGACGATTTCTCACTAGAGCTGCCTCGCGGCGCAGCCGCCATTTGCCCCGTCACTATTTGTCAATTTCACACCCGAGACTGCGGGGCTGCATTTGACCCGCAGCTTCGCCCGATCTCCTCCGCAGTTTCGTGATCCTCAAAAACTAGGATCACGAAACTGCGGAGGAAATCGGGCGAAGCTGCGAGTCAAAATGCAGCCCCGCAGCTTCGGGTGTGAAATTGACATATTTGTGTCGGGGCAAACGGTGGCTGCGCCGCGAGGCAGCTCTAGTACGAAATCGCCCATAGTGTATTGGCCTATGAAACTAATGTAGGAGGAAACTTAAACTCTTATCAGTTTTATAACAAGCTGCTGTACCATGTACCTCCTACAAGATGAAGTATATTTTTAATGTGGACCTTGACTTGCCCATCTTTCTTTTATGCTTTCCACTTTGCTGTTCTTATATGTCCCTCTCCCCAAAAAATAAATTTAAGGTCCAGATCAAGTGTTTTCTTGTGGATACAGAAATTCTGCTCATCATACATGGAGCTCTTTCATCCACAAGGAATCCCCATTCATTTTAGTAGAGGAAGTAT